GCACTGTGATGAATTTCTAAACGGTCTTATTAAATAAAAACACAGAGTCAAATATAGGGGTGAAAGCCCTAGAGAATAGCCACCAGCCAACCTTACCTCACCAGCTCTGCAGCTTCCAAATGCAAGCTACTTCCTGTCTACCCATGTCTTTATATGCCTTGCTTTTCTGCTCTCTCATTGGCTCTTAGCCCAGCTACCTCACTAGGATCCTTGTCACTGTCTGTACAGACCTCCAGGTCTCTATGGTTGGTATTGGGATTAAAGGCTTGTGTCACCACACTTGGCTCTGTTCCCTAGTATGGCCTTGAACACGCAGAGACACTGCCTGATAAGTGATTGGAATTAAGAGCATGTGCTGCCTGACTTTGTTTACTTAAAATGTCTGGCCTTTTCCCCCTGATCTCCAGGCAAGCTTTATTTATCAAAGCACAAATAAAATATCACTACATTTCAACACAAATAAAATATCACCACAGTCATCCTTAGTTCACCATTGTTTTTAAATTGTTTTATTCATTTTACCCAGACCCTCCTCTCATCCCTCCTCCCACTTCCTCGTCCCCACCTTCTTCCCTCTGACCCACCCCTCATTCCCTCCTCCAAAAAGACAAGTTCTTCTATGGGGGGACAGCTAAGCCTGGTACCTTCAACTGAGGCAGGACCAAGCCCCTCCCAGCTGCATCAAGGGTGAGCAAGGTGTCTGACCAAAGGTAATAGGATCCAGAAAGCCAGTTGACCACACTGCCAGGGGCCCTCGGCTACACATCTCTCTTCCATACGCAGAGGGTCTAGTCCAGTCATATGCAGGCTCCACAGATGTTGGTCTAATATTTGTGAGTTCTTATGAACTTGGTTCAGTTGTCTCTGTAGATTTCTGCATCATGACCTTAACCCCCCCTCCCCCCTCCCCCCCTCCACTCTCCCACCCGCGTTGTTCCCTCTCTTCCCTCTCTTTGACTGGACTCCAGGAACTTGGCCTGGTGCTTGTTGTGGACCTCTGCTTCCATCAGATACTGGATGAAGGCTCGATGATTACAGTTAGGGTATTCACCAATCTGCTTACCAGGGTAGGCCAGTTCAGGGACCCTTACCACTATTGCTAGTAGTCTAAGCTCAGGCCATCCTTGTAGGTTCCTGGGAATTTCCCTAGCACCAGGTTTCTCCCTTACCCCATAATGTCTCCCTCTATCAAGATATCTCTTTCATTGCATTGTGTGCCTCCCCTAACTCAATCATCCCATTCCCTCCCCTCTATTGTTCCCCCATCCCCAGTTTACTCATGGAGATCTACTCTGTTTCCCCTTCCCAAGGTGATCCATGCATCCCTCTTAGGGTCCTCCTTGTTTTCTAGCTTCTCTGGAGCTGTGGGTTGTACTCTGCTTATCCTTTGCTTTACATCTAGTATCCACTTATGAGTGAGTACATACCATGTTTGTCCTTCTGAGTCTGGGTTACCTCATTCAGGATGAGATTTTCTAGTTTGATCCATTTGCCTACAAATTTCATGATGTCATTCTTTTTTTTACTGCTGAGTAGTGCTCCACTGTGTGTATGTACCACATTTTCTTTATCCATTCTTTGGTTGAAGGACATTTAAGTTGTTTCCAGGTTCTGGCTATTATGAATAATGCTGCAATGAACATAGTTGAGAATTCTCTGTTTAGATCTGTAGCCATTTTTTTAATTGGATTGTTTGGTATTTTGCTGTCTAGTTTCTTGAGGTTTTTTTTTTATATATATATATTTTGGAGACCAGCCCTTTGTCAGATGTGGGGTTGTTCATCATTGTTTTGTGGTGTTATTTTTCTGGGACCTTCTGGTGCTGGGATCCCTTAGTATCCATAATGGGGTAGGCATATGGATTTGTTTCTAGTCTGCTGATTTACTGAATGTCTGTAAAAAATAGTATCTAAAATGTTTATTTTCTTCAGAATTTGTATAGAACTCTGGTTTGATATTCTTGGCATTTCTTTGTGTATGTATCATCACTGTACCTAATCTCTTTTTTTTTAGTCAGCTCATTCATATTTTCAAGAAATTATTTCTAGAAAGTATCCTTGTCAAATGTTATATTTATAAGAATAAGATAGAAATTCACTAGGAGTTTTAGTTTCTAAGACAAGGAAAATAAAACAAAACAAAACAGCTACAACAAAAAACCACAAAAGCCAACAAACCTCTGACATTGTACTTTTTTATTTTTGATATTTCCATTTCTATTCCATCCTTGTGGTATAATTCACTTCTGTTCTACATTTGTATTAAATTCTCAACATAACAGATATATGATAAACTCTCTTGCTTATTTCTTGATAGTAAGTTACTTTTTGTGTTTGATGAGTTTTTGTTTTTTGTTGTTGTTGTATGTTTTTATTTTTTTGCTGAGACACACATTTTGATGAAGCCCAGGCTGGTATTGAACTCTTCATATATGGATTATCTATGGTCCCGGTCAGACACTCTATCTGGTGTGGGATATCTGAGGGAAAAAAAATCTATGTACACTATGCTTTTATGTCTGTTAACTTTATTCTGCTAAGACAAAATTCTATCTACATAGCTACAGCTCCATCAGACATTCAGGGCAGGAATAAATCTAGATACACCAAGGTCTTTGTCGGTCTACTTTGTTTTTCTAGGATGAAATCCTGTCTACATTGCTTCAGTTTCATCCTGACGCTCAGTTCCTCTGTGTCCCCTTATTTATTACCCTAGTCCTGCTAACAACTAAGTTCTTATGCTTCCAGTCTCATCTACGTCCTCTGTTTATTTGCCCTCCATCTCTACTTGCTCTTTATTCCTGGCTTTGATGAACTCTACAAGAGTTCTGCCTTACCTTCTACAGAATGTCTGTGTTCTTTCCTTCTCCCTGGTCATGCCATTCTGTTTCTCTACAGAAAATGCCTGTTCCTTCTTCCACTGGCCATGAGGTTCTCTGCCTCCTCAGCAATATTGCTGCTCCACCCTACCTTCCACCTTGATATGTAAAAACCTCTTTTATTCTCAGTCAATTGCTCTGGAGAACCACTAGGCCTCAAGGCAAGGGGATGGTCTAAGCTTCAATAGCACAAGAAACAAGGCTATTCATCTCCCACCAGCTTGTCTTTGCCTATGTGACCTTATCCAAGTACTGGCTAGAACAAGGAAGTTCACACACACATTCCATGGTAATTGTGAGCACAAAAAATTCATAACAAGGCACAGCTGAATATTACGCTGTGTAACACCAAACAGTTCATACTAGATGGCTTGCCGCTTGACTGACCCTTGGCCTGGTCAAGGAATAGCTTTAATATACAGCTGGACTCCTTATAACATATTCTTGTGGCTCATCACGTTGATACTCCTATCTCAGCCTCTCATATGTTGGAGTTATCAGTGTGCACCATCATACCCTGCTGTGTTTTATAATTCTTTAACGAATACTTGAATACTAGACGTTGTATAATGAAAATAGTAGCATTGTCTACAGAATGGTTGAGACTCAGTTTTTCCTCTGGGGAATTTTGTGAATATTATTTGGTCTATCTAGATTTCAACCTCATTAAAGTAACTGTGAAACACATTTTCTGAGAAACTGAAGTATGCAAAACATACACATTAAATGGCAATATCATTTATTTAGTGACAGCTTCCTGCGACCATCTTTAGAAGTCCTAGAGTATGCAGAATTGATTGTTTTCTAAATGCAAACATATTTCTCTCTTTTTTTTTACCAATTTGAAATTTCAATATTTTATTAAAATGTATAATATGAATTGCATAAACTAGACAGTCAAATCTCTTCATGTATCCAATTAAAATATTAAGATTCTATAATTCTTTTACTCTTTCCATAATATAAACCACAAAATTGGTCCCAGTATATTTAATAATGTTTATAAATGAATATGCAGAATCAGAGGCTTTTCAAAGATCTGTTTATTTTAAAAGTGGGAAACAGTATGTTTTCAAAGTGACATAAAGAAATGACTTAATTGTGATTCCCTACAGTGTGCTGATTCTATGGAGTATTGAGGATCATGTCTTATTCTAGAAACAGGTAAGAAAGAATCAAGAAAAGATGATTAACAGATGGTATGAAGAAAGCTCTGTCCTCTAGATTAAGTGCATAACACTGTTTTGTGAAGGTGGGTATCTTGAAGATGCGAAGCCAGGATCCCCAGCTAAAGAGGCCTTCCTTCTTGTTCTCCTCTGGACCTGGGTAGCATTTCTTCCATGTCTGCAACAACGTAAGCAACAACAGCCCAAACAGCAGCAGCAACATTCATCTGCTTGGGATCCATGGCAGTCATGGTGTCTCCATGGGAATGATGGAAGGAGAAATATTTGTATAAGTCATCACGCAGACTGGCTCCTGGGGAGAAGAGGGAGATTTCTGAGTGTGGTATTTTGACAAACATCGCTGAATAGCTGTTCAGAAACCATTGCTACCCCCTCACATCCTTTCAGTCCACTCCCCCTGATAACTGAAGTGGCAAAGTAATTGTTTCCCAAGGCTGTCTTGAAGGAAGATAGCTATATCACATTCCTCTGACCACTAAGATTTATGTGTCAGGCTGTGGGAGAGTTCTAGGAATGCCTTAGCTTTGCTGACAAAGACTTGGGAAAGGGTGGCTAACACTCCATTCAGGGTAGATGAGAAATTAGAGTTGAAAGGAACAAAAAGCCCTGGTTTTAGCCTCAAATTAGAGCCTGGAGAAATGTCCTGTTCAATTCATCCTTTGACCACTACTTGGATGGTCTTGTGGAGGTCTAGGTGCAGCTCTGAAGCATCTGGGAGTCATGCTGATTGTTTTATTGTGCAATGCATGACACACAGAGAAGACAGCAGAGAACCTATGTATGCAAGACCTTAAGGTGATCTTATGAAGAGGACATGTCTATCATTCCACCCAAGAAAACAGTTTCTGGTACTTGAGGAGGCCATGTTTTCACTCTCCTTCTCAGTGTAGTTCTCTGCTCTATCCCCCAAGGAGTCACAGTCCTGTTTTGCTCGTGTACTAATCAGTTCTTGTTTTTTTCCTTTGGTTTTATCACACACACACACACACACACACACACACACACACACACACACACACACTCACTATGGCCAAAACTCTATGTTCGAAACATATTATGCGTATTGTCTTTCCACTCAAATGCATGTAAGGTTTAACTCTTACCATGCATTGCTGTAATATACTTCTTTGTAATTTGTTTTAATTCTATCTCATTGTATTAATTTATCCATTTTCTTTCCCAGGTTTCTGTAAGCACATGCTACTATCAACATTCTAAAGGGTAGAAATGTTGGGGTGGAATGGCTGTGCTACAGAGCATGTGTGGTTAATTTTATTATTCAATTCCAAAATGTTTTCCTTTTAATTTACATGGCCATGGTGAGTAAATGAGCTAGCTGTCATTTTGATTCATATGTTCTCCAGCATTTGGTTTTGCCAAAAGCATTTTTTTTTTTTTTTTTTGCTTTTCTGGTGAGTGTCAAACATCACTTCCTTTTTAATTCTTCAAGTTGCTAATGAAATTGAATATATGTTTCTATATGAATTTTTGTTTCTTGTTGAGGTGCCAGATGATATATTTTTGAATCTAATCTTCTCTTGGTATTGTTCACATATATTATTTTCCAGTTTATGGCTCAGCTTTCTTTCTGAATACATGTTCTTACTATTGATGTAGCTGAATTTGTGAAACTTCTCACTTATGATTGGTGCTATGCATGTTTCATTCAAGAGATGCTTCACATCCCTTAAAACTAAAAATATCCTCCTGTGTTCTACTCTGAAAATTTAAAGCTTTTATCTTCATTGTTAATGTTTTCACACATCTAGAATTAGAATTGATTTTTCTGTAGTATGTGAAGTAGGTTTCTGTTTTTATTTTTTAGTTGTCGAGAAAATTGATTAATGTGTGCTCTTCCCCATTAATCTGCAGTGTCAATATCCTCATATATCTAATTTTCTTCTATGTAAAGGCTTGCTTGGGGATAGCAAGTCTGTCTCTTTGGTCTCTTCATTGGCCTCCATGTTAACATCACCCTGTCTCAATTGCCATTGCTTTCTAACCCTTGACATTGGGGAGGACAGCTTTCTCCAACTTCTCCCATTCCTCCTTCTCCCCTTCTTTCCCCTTCCTTCTCTTCCAAGAAGTGTTTTAGTTATTCTTAACTATGTTGCCTTCCACATAATCTTCAGAATTACTTTAATATTACAGAAAATTATTTTTGGATTGTTTTCCAGAATTATATCAACCTGCATATTAATTTGAGGAAGATATGCAAAAATGATTTACATCTTTCAGTCAGGATATTGTGTTTTTTTGAGCATGTTTTTTTTTGAAAATGTTATGGTAATTTATTTCTATTTGAGTCTTCTGTAACATCTTTACATTTTATAGTACAGGAGATGGAGCGATTGCTCAGAGGTTAATCACACTGGCTGCTCTTTCAGAGGACCTAAGTTTGATTCCCAGCACATGGTGGCTCACAACTATCTGTGTCTCTAGTTCCAGGGTCTCCAATGTCCAATTCTGGTCTCTGCAGGCACAAGGAACTTATATGGTGTATGGGTATAGAGATATCCATACAGGCAAAATACCCATACACATAAAATAAAAATAAAAATAAAATCAAAATATAGTCTTCCTCATGTTTTGGTAGTTTTCTTTCCTTAATGGGCTCTATTGTAGTAAAAGTTACTTTTTTTGTTTGTGGCTATCCAGCTTAAATAGAAAACTGTATGTGAGTCATCAGATGGAGTTTCTTTTTTGTCTTTATTCTGGAGTATCTTGCATAGTAGCTATAAATTCTTTCCTGGTTATTTTATAGGACTTTTTATAAAGCCACCAAAGTCTGATATTTTCTTTATGACAAAAATGTTAACTAATGATTTAATTTTTTTCATGGTTACTGAGCTACTTAAGTTTTGTGTTTCTTTCTGATTATCTTTGGAAATTCATATTCTAGAAATATGTGGGCTTTGACTAATCTTCAAAATAATCACTGAGAAGTTGTCAATAATACCCTCTTTTTACTTTTGACAATGCCATTCATTCTGCAGTGATGTCTCTCTCTTTGTATCTGATGCAGATTTTCAGTGTCTCCTCTCTAGCCAGCAACTTGCCATTTTTGTTGCCTTTCAAAGAAAAAGACAAATTGGAGCTTTGGGGATACTTTCTACTATCTAGTAGTTTTTCTTCCACTGGATTTTGCTCTTAGATTTATCTTTCCCTTTCTTTCTTTTTTTTTGTTTTTGTTTTTTTTTTCCAGAGAGGGGTTCTCGGTGTAGTTTTAGTGCCTGTCCTGCATCTCACTCGGTAGACCAGGCTGGCCTTGAACTCAAAGAGATCCACCTGCCTCTGCCTCCTGAGTGCTGGGATTAAAGGCATGCACCACCACCACCTGGCTTCCCCTTCTTTCTTTGGTTTGTTTTCTTACTTGAGTTAAATGCTTGGTTTATTATTTTGCAAATTTCCTTTGTTTCTGGCATACTCACCAGGACTATAATCTTAGCCTTCCAACCAATTCTGATTAGAGTGTTCATGACTACTCAGTTTTAAATGCTTATTAATTTCTAGGTTGACCTTGTCATTACGTTTTATAGTGAATATTCTTAATATTCAAAAATGAGGTTTCCTTGTTTAATTTTTGCTGTTAATCTCTGATATAGCTATCATATAATGTGGGCTGTATGGTGCAAATTCTTTGAATTTTGTTGTGATTTGCTCCATGGCCTACTATCACGTCTACTTTCACAAATGTTGCACATGCACTACTTATAAAGGATGTGTGTCCAGTGTGCTGGGCATGTTTCTAGATCTGGAGTATTAATTGCGTTCTTTAAACTTTTAATTCCTTGTTTACTTGTTATGCATCTGATGTGTAAGTTGGGGAGGTATAGACAAAAATGTCCATTCATGATTTCAATGTGTTTTCTATTTTACAGTTATTCTATAACTCCAGAAATGCCTTTCAATGTATTTCAAAGTTATGCTCCAAGGAATACATGAATTCAGAATTCTATCTTACTGGTAGATTGAACTTTTATTGATTTGTGGTTGTCTCCTTATGTGTAGTAATATACATGTCTTGATATTTTCTTCATAATAGAAATGCTAAGTAATGATTCAATGTCTTTCATGATTACTGAGTGAGGATTTGTATTTCTCCCATATTTAATCCAGCTTCTCCTATGTTTGAGATGGCCCAGTTGCTTCTTTATGCAGAACACAACGCTGCCCGCTTTGCTCCATCATTTTATGCCCCGTCCTTACATTCTTAGTGGTTTTTTTCTAAAGAAAGTTTTCAAAATCTAGCCTGGGAATATTTGAGTTTTATCAGGAGATTATAATCCATTTATGTGGATCATGGTTATTTTTCAATTTGATTTGCTTATACCCCCTGGATTTTAGCTCCCTGTTCCTTGTGTTTTCTAGGCTTCTTCCTCCCACTTCTCTCTTATCCTTTTCAGGGTTAATTTTCTTCCCTCTTCTCATTCCTTCCTCTCCTGCCTACTCCCCAGTCTGAAAGCCATCTGCTTTATCTCTGTTCAGTCACAAACTATCTAATGACTACCACATTAGTACCTTACATCACACAAGCACCTGGAGGCTAAGTGTCTCTCATGGTCCTGAAAGCCCATGCCCTGTGGGATGGACAGGTAAAGGCTGGGTCCCATCATACCACTGCTGATTCCCACTTTGTGTTTCTAACTGCTCTGAATCTGCTTACATTACCTCCAGATAATGATTGTTTAATTATTAGGAGGAAAGGAATGATTATGAACTTAGGATAATCACATTGACAGCACTCTCCTGCTTCCTGCCCATAAGTTGGGTGTTACAATTGTCCCTGAGACCTCATTGCCTAGGACTGATTTTCTCCATGATCGTCTAAGTTTTGAAAACTTAAGTTAAACATATATTCTACCTATTTTCCTAACAGCCTTGCTCTGAAGTGAAGTTGAGGTTTCCCATGCCAAATTTAGCCAAGGCTCTACTAAATGTAATGCAGGCTAGGAAAGGGAAATATAGAAAGAAAAGAAACTCATCCATACCCTGACAATGACTCATCCCTATGCCTACTGGCAAGTGACAAGCAACATATGTTAACTGACAGTAGCTGTTGAACTCTTCACCCATGTTTAAGTGATTTTTTTTTCTGTGCAGTGACTTTTTCTCTGAACCAGTATGTTATCTGCTCACCCAAGACTCAGAAAGGGTGATCCTCCAGCCTGATAACATAAAACTGGTAGTGGGCAGGCTGGAGCTGAGGTCCATCAATGTTCTGAAGACTCAGTCCAAATGAACTGGGGAAACGTTTTTTGAATCCCCGTAACATTCTAGGTAGTAGGCTAA